TCGCGTAAGAATATCAAAACTACTAAACTAATTTTAAATTTAGTTTATATATAATTTAATGTTTTACTGGTTTTATTAACACGTCAAAAGAAAGACGCAAATTTTTATATGTTGCTTTTCGAATGTTGTTTTTAATATAATACTAATCTTTGATAATAGCATTGCCTTTATAACTAACATTTTTATTCCTACTAAAAATTAACAACTAATATAAATTAATGGATTTAAATAAAACCACAGATTTAGTGGTGAAATAAAAACACAACTCACGTTGCTCTAGCTATGTCGTTGACTTGACATTTAACCAGGCCAAAAAATTAAAAAAAAACTTGACATTTAAATTCGCGCCATTTTTGCTAATACGCGTGCAATACACAGATGATGTCAGCCATCAAATCGGGTCACGTGACGTATTCGCGCTTCGCCCGGATGGCGGAAATGGAAGAGGAGCATCACGAAAAGGAAGTTCTCAAGAAACAGATCAGTGTTGAGAGGAGTGGCGGTGGCTTGTAAGACTTTTTTAGGTAAGTTTAGTAGCTTGTAGTTTATTTGTTGTTATTAACATACGACAGACCTAATATTGTTTATAAAATCGACTAATGATTTAAGTTCGAAATCAAATGTCAAACCTCATATAACTTCAAATTTAACATAAAAAAACATACTAAAAAGACTTCGAGTTCGAAGTAGCTTGAAAGGTAAGAAATGGGGAGCGTGGTTTATACTGGAGGTTTTGGCTTCGACTCCCGGCGAAACAATTTTGTAATTGTATCTTGTTGAGACAGTGAGAGAGTCAGTTTCAATAATGTTATTGATTATATTCAATTTAATACAAACCAGAATTGTTTCTTTAATGGTATAAACACTTTTTGTTATTAGCGCCATCTATCCATATGTAATAAAACAACAATAACAGAAGCGTTTACAACTGCTCAACCTTTTTATACGAAAAGCTTCCAATGTAAAATAATAGATGGCGTTTCAGATAATTAGACTTTCTAGTCATCCTGGTTAGCTGTGTTATACAGTAGTTTTAATCATACGCTAGATGGCGCTATAACTTTATTTTCGTCGTGTAACGGTTTTCCGTATTGTTTCAGATAGCTACGAACACCTCTTCAGTTAAACAATCCTGTAGGTTTTACTTACCCCAAAGTATTATTGGCAAGAACATCAAGTACTACAACTAAAAAATGAACTTGTGTATATCCTCATTATCGTGTTAGTGTTACCTGTTATTTATTTTAATTTAGCACATAGCATGTAGCAAGTTATTAACATCGTGATATTTTATTTAACCTTAAGTCCTCAAAATAATTATTTATTGGTCAAAATCTAATTACCGAAGCTTTTCTGTAAAAATATTTTTTTCAATTTTGAATGTTTACACTTATTTATTAATAAAGACATTTTTCAAATTATCTTTGATTCAATAAAGTATTAGAAAAATGAATTGTGTTTTAATTATTTCTTATGCTAAAAAACCATTATGGGAAAAAAAAAGCTTCGCGTGGTAAGTGTTTACTGGAAATTACCTTAAAGTTAATAGCAATAATTTTAGACCAAAAACATATTAATTGTTAAATTAAAATTATCTGTGGTAATAAATTAATTTAAAAAAAATGTACGACCGGAAGTGAAGTCCAATAATTTATTGAAGGGCAACTACGTACACGTGATGTAACAAGGGTCAATGAACCCTGATTGTGTTCAACTTGATACATTAACAGGGGAAGACAGATTTATTAAAATTGGTGAAAAGTAAGTTCTACAAAATATTTGGTGGGAAAAAGTTTAAGTTTTGTAATACCGGATACAGGGCGGTGGTTACGCCCCCATGGGCCGCTTTCGGGCGGTGGGTGGTCGCTGTACCGTGTTTATTAATTTTTCAAACGCGGGAAACGAGGGTGTCTAACGCGAGTGCTCTTGACAGTTGTAATGCTTAAGCCACGCGCCCACAGATATTAACACTTTATACTATAAAGTTTATAGTCAAAACTAAAATCTTATTTTGTATTCGTACTACACAATCTTAAAAGCACTTACAAGTTATGGTTTATGGATAATTTAACAATCAAGGTTCACAATAAGTCGGGCAATACAAAAAGTAATTTCGTATTTATAGTAATTAAAAAATTTGGCTCTCTATTAATATTTTTTTTTTATAACGAGCAATTCTTCATTTATTCTTTGTTTTATTCTTCATTTACAATTATTAACTGTATTCTATACCTTTATACAAAAGATTACTTAACTCAAAATAAAATATAATTGGTAAAAGCTGTCGTTAGGGACGGCGCTCTCGCGTTGAATGCAGTGCAGTAGCTACACGTTCTATAGGCGGGCATAGTTCAAAGAGACTTTTTTGGGGATACATGGGTTTTAATGAGTATCTAACATGCTAATTAGCGTGATGCAACGTCTCGAGAGCAAGGGCGTGTCGGGAGGGGGCGGGTGGCGGTCCGGCCCGCCCACGCTCTTCCGCTTCCGATCATCTCAGCTGTAACCAGCAGGTCAAATTTCCTTCCTTGATTTTTTGGTCCCTTTTATGCCCTGTCATTAAATAGGTACAGTGGTTCAGTATTAATTTATTGATGCCAATGGTAGTACTGCAATGTCAAGTGCTTGTTGCACCGTTTAAAAATATGATTTTAAAGTTACGAATAGTTGCAAAATACTTATAATGAAGGCATTTATCAATTTAGTAACACATTTACTGCGATACAAAATTGCATGGCTCGCGACAAGTTAAAAATATTCTCATATTCCCTGAGATAAAACGAAAAACAAAAACTAGCAGCCCTTATTATGACAATACAAATTCAATGACAGCTTTTTGTATTATAGGCAAATGCTAAAGTCCTTTGCCTATCATCGTTATAGGCAAATGTCATTATAATCACAGATCACAAAATATTATGTTTAACCATTTTGAACTTTCACCTGTTATAATAATTATGTGATATGTCATTCTTTCAATCACTGTCTTAACGAACAAGAAGAAAAGTTAAAATCGTAATAAAGTAGATACAAAAGAATCTTATAATTCTACTTTTAATTATATAATTATTTAAATCAGATTAAGTGAGCACGTACATTCACTTTACGCATTAAATATGTGACTCAAACCAGACCACCTTGGCGGGAAACGATTACTTAGATTATCAAGGGTTATGCCAGGTTATGCCATACACGTAACCCATTATGGAGGACTGTCATCGAATGAATGTATTTGTAGCGAATCGTAGATACGCACTAAAATGTACATACTCTTTTGTGTAGTATTTTCTATAAGATTTTGATGTACGTGTTAACACAAAGATAGCACACTAAGAAAAGAAGAAAGCGGACGTCACTCAGAAGTCAGAACAGACTTTTAAGACGAGCGATATTCAGTGGAATTGGAAACTCCGATTAACTACTGGTTAGTGTTATCGAAGGTTTGATTTATCAACAGCCCATATTACCATCTAGTTTTTAGTATAAACAAAAAGTTAGTTATAATAACAACGAGTTACAAAGTGATAATACATTTATTTATGTATTTTGTATTGAGAGTTCGTTTCATTGGTGGCAAAAAGGTCAAGGGACGCGATTGTGGGTTGTGATGATTCATTCTCTTGTTTTGTTGACTTAAATTACTTAATTAGCAAATGAGTATGCGCATTCAAGCAGGACGATACAGAATCTATGGGTATAAAAACATGATGATTTCATCAATTCTCTCATCTACTAAGTATACACAAACACTATCGCGTCATTCAACTACCGCATGCCACGCCAAGGTACACCCATAATAGAGTTATCATTTATGAACAATGTCATAAAAACAAAAACTGTAGCAGTTCAAAATCATCCTTAATCCGGGTAAATAAGGTTAAAAATTATTTATCATTGTTACAAATTGATATTCCTTAGAATTACGTGTTCTAGATAATATTTATATTCAAAAATGTACTCTAATGTATAGCTGGTAAGGTTTAAAATACATTTTTATTTAAAGTGATAATTAAGTCTCGGATACATGCTCTCACGGGGCGGCTGCTCATTCGTGCATAATGGACTTGGGGCTAAAGCAACAGACGCTTGACAAAACGTAAAACAACTTTCACTTTCATTTCGAGGTTACCTGCGGCAGTATATATTTACAGATTTTAGAGTATTTTGCAATTTAAAAAAGTTAATGGCTGTAAAAAGAATTCAGGTCGACCCGTTCTATTTGGATTTCAAGTCAAGCTATTCAAGCTTAAAGCACTTATTGCTCATATTGTATTCATGCTGCCTGAATTTATTTTTGTCTTTTATGAAGAAAATATTTTTTAGCACTATAGTCATCAAGTCACTATTACCAGATTATTTACTTTCTTATTACTATAATCATAATTCGCTTCGACGAAATAAAAAAAAGTATTAGGGATGCACATTTTTTTTATTCGTTTAAGCAGGTTTCTCGTAATAAGCAAAGCAACTTTTACACTAAAGAACACGACATGTGTGCATTTTTTGCCCGCCCAAGGAGGCCGCGGGCGCGAGGTTATACACCCATTATTACGTCCTTCCTACTTTCAATTATTATTATCGGGCGGCGGCTGCACCTCACCCGCGACGGGGAGGAGAAGAGAGGCGCAGCTGCTGCCTACCAATAATCAAGACTTGTATTTATTAGAACGAGACAGCGATACTCGTTTTAAACATTTTAAAACAGTTTTCAGGGATAACCAGTAAGTTTTACACCTGAAAAATTATATTTTATTTTACTTGGAGGTCTCTTACAATATTTCAGCTTGATAGATTTGTCTTAAATTGCTTTAGAATGAAACAAAAAGACTTATAACTTTAAAATTACGAACGCGATAGGAGGCGGATCTCCGAAAACACCCGAACGCGGTCGTTATTGTTCGTCACTAGTTCGCTCGCCGCAGCTTGGCGGCTGGTCGTGAGAATGGTGCGTTTCTTAGATGAACAAAGCAAATTAAATTATTTTAAGTTCAAAGTAGATAATGTCGTCTGAGCCTACAAAAGTGGACGTAGAGTACATTAGTGAGGAAAAACTATTAAAGGTAAATGTTTTAAAGTGAAAGGATACTGTGTTATTGTGTAACGCATTGGACGCTAGCGGGCAGCGGTCTCGTGTGTTGCTCAGCGCAGGGGGAGGGCGGGGCGAATGCAGTTCCAGCCGTGTGGGTCTCGCCAGGCCACACGCAGGAGGTTGTGACCGCGTTTGGAGCTACTCCCTTACCAAAATGTTCCTTACATTGTTATGGTTACTAATATAAGTTTAACTTCTTAGTTACTACAAACACTATGGTACAAATTATTTCAGTTATTGATTCTTGGATATACATTAGTGGTGTTTTTGAATACCTAATGTAAATGTGTCAATAGATCACTTTCGTCATTAGGTAATTGGGTGTCATACAACGAATAAGATAATATAGCGTTCGGAAATGTAATTTTGGTATTTATGGTAACCTAGTTAAAAGTGCGTAAAAATCAAAGTCACGCGATCTAAGGTGGGTGGATCTAAGGGCGGCGGCGGCCTTGAATGCGACGACTCCCGGCTCCCGACACTTGTTAGGAAAAGGCGTGTCAACTGTAACATAGTTGTTACAAAATACTTTTCCTACTTAATATTTTACAAACTTAGACAAACATACCTACAGTTCAAAAGTTTTCGAAGTTCATTTATAACCCAAGAATTTTATTTGAATAATGAACACGGAAGTTCATTTAGATTCACTGAGAAGAAAACGACAATATTATTCACATCACTAATTCGGACTAGTTTTTATAATATGTTAGCGGAAGTGCAAAACGTCAAAACGATTTTTTTGCACCAAAATCCGTTATTGTCTATTGATCCGTGAAAATATTGTATAAATTAAAAGCCAAAATATTATTTACAAACGTGTAAAAAAATATTTGTTTACGTTTTGTAAGTTATGATCTAAATAAACTTTTAATCATTGCTTTAATTACTTCAAAAAACAAAGATAAATTTAATAAACACTTATTTTTATTGCACCAATCTCGTCTTAAAAGCGTCATTGTTTAAAGTAGAGTTTCTCAAACTAAGTAAGCACTGCTGCTCTTGACACTTAATCTCCAAACTCCCTACAAAATAGCTGGTTCCAATATTGTGACTAAATTATTTCTAACATACCAATTCCATTGAACCAATTTGTAGTCAGTCAGCAAATAAACAAAATATTGGACATGAAGTACCTGTTTCAATAGGAACAAATATTACTAGACAACTAATTTACACAGCGTCTTGTTATTTGCATAGTTACTGAAGAGCAATAACTTTCTTTAATTTCTACCCATTACACAATTACAAATCATCATTGCTTGAATGTTTAATTACTATCATTGATGTACAGTTTATATAAGTATGCAAAAATATGATGACAAATAATTTTCCATATATGTTTCCGAGTAAAAATTAAGGAAATGTTTATCAGGATCAAGATTTTGCAGCTAAACTGAGTATCAATATAGAAATTTGATGATTTTCCTTCCATTATGTTTATTTCATTCAAATCAAACTACCTTTTATATAGTTTGAAATCTTCATTAATATTTGCAGCATGTTTATTTACATAAGCAATTATAAATAAATTTAAATATCTGCTATATAACACAGTACAGATAGTCAAAGACATAGTGAATTAAAAGTAATGATACATTTACAAGCTCAATTTACCTTGTTAATTTCCTGCTACTTTAAAGTAACCTTTAAGAATTTATTATTGTTTTCCTATTTCGACAAATCTGGCAGTGTCATGTGCTCTTAAAAAATTAAGTCGGGTGTTTTACTACATTCAATAATGTTTAGCAATTCGACTAGTATTTAACAGCCACAACCCATTAGATTATCTGCAAGTTTAAAAACAAAATTACGGATAAGTTATTGAATATAACTTCTGTGTTGTAAATGTAATGTGCTTAAAATTAACTTAGTATAGATTATAGTGTTTAAATCAAGAAGTAGGTCCATCAAGATAACACAAGTATTGATAACAATGCTTACTATGCTGTCATAGTATCCTCGGAAAGATTAGAAACAGATATTTTGTCTCATATTACTCTATGTTGTAATTAGGTACACTAACCGATACTTTGAACTTATTTTTTCTTTATAAAAACTTGTGATTTTTATACTACTGTAAAACATAAATTATAAAATAAGAGAATGGATCTGATTTTAAACTTGTTACCAAGAAAAAAATTATAAACTCAATTCTCTACTATTGTATTATTGATGCTTAGATATTCAAATACTAATCTACTAGTGTGCTGGTCATTCTAACATGGCATAAAGACAGCTGTTTTTTCTATTTTTAATTCTGTTTAGTAGCTGTGTTCCTCACAAAAACATACATATATATTACAATTAAATTAATATTTTGGACACTCACCTGACAAAAACACAAATGCCTTGTATAACACTATTTCTTTTTTGTCCATTCCATAAATAATCTGTTTATTGTAGTATCAAAATTTATGCATTTCTTCCAGGAAAATAGTGGCAGTCAATCACCTCTAGCTCTCTTAGCAGCAACCTGTAGCCGACTTGGCCCCGCCAACATGGGGCCAGAACAGGACAAAGAACAGCAGCATTACAGTAAGTAGCCATTGTAAGCCCTGTAGAAAAGCAGACTTAATTATTTATTTAATAATTTAAACAGTTTAAGTAGTATACAAACTACTTGTTGTATATTTGTACATTGTAAGATTTAAACATATCTTACAGTATTTATTACTAGATACTAGAACAGCAAAAAAAATTATAATTTCTCAACTAGCAAATTATATTAGAGTCTCAATTGATTAGTTTATGAGGATTGTGCATATAATCTAGACGCCTAATTCCCAGAAGAATATTTAAATGTGGATATGTACCAATTATATCAAAAAGAATCTATTAGGCTCTGATATTGCTAAGTATATGTCAATATTGATTGCTCTAAATTCTATAAGTGCTTATATGTGTCAAGTAAACAGCTGATAGGGGAGGTTATAAGTTCAAGGTTAAGGGTGATTGACCCTGAGTTTTGTTCATTGTACTGCATTGCTTGTTTATGTCAGAATTGCTTGAGCTGTACCGTACCATAAAATCAATGCATTCTGACTATTTATAAGAATACTATGAACAAATAAAAATGTTACACTTATTGATAGCTTATTCAGTCTCTCATAGCTATTAAATGATTGGTCCTTATCACATATATGAGGCTTTAAAAGTTTATTTTTAATTGGAATACACTTTGTTTGATACATACATTGAATTGACCTTACCAACATATTTCCAGGCCCACAGCAGCAGCAGCAAGTGCAACAGCAACAACAACAACAACAACAGCAGCAGCAACAACAACAGCAGCAACAACAACAACAACAGCAGCAGCAGCAACAGCAACAACAACAACAGGTCCAACAACTCGTACAACAAGGCGAAGTTGCGCTCATACAACAATACCAACAGCCTCACTTGAGGGTCATCAGCACTGCTGTTGTGCAACAGCTCAGAGCGCAAGGGCTGTCGGTGAGTTAGGCGATACAGGGTTTAAAGCGACATCGAAACACACGAATGTCACTTTATACATCTTGTATAATTATCTCTGTTCCATAATGGGATGTAAATTTGTAATTATAGATCTTTAATTGACAGAGTTTTTATACAAATTTAGTATCTCATGGAGCAATAGATTAGTGACGCGTACAAGCTCTTGCACTCTGGGCTAGGAAGTAAGTACAGCATGCTTTATATGCATGGTTTGTTCCTGTCAAAGGTACGTTTGGTCTAGATTATTCTTGTATTTTAGAAATTCCAGATGGTTCCATATTGGTTGAGTTACTTGGCTAAAAGTCAGTTAGCAATTGTCCCATATTACAAGTACGGTTACACAGCTTTAGTGACTCAGTGGATACACATTAAAACCCGGATGGGTTTGGTCAATTTATGACAAAATATGCTGAAGAGCCTTTATTGCTGTCGAGAAATGTCCAAGCCATGCCCCATTAGGGAATTATTTTTCAAACCACATTGATTTCACGGAGAGATTATTAAGCATATATTTTATTTCCAGTCAATCAGACAGATAATAATAATAATAATTAAGGAATATACTTTAACATGGCACTTTTATTGTGTGCTTAATACATACACACACACACTTCTGTCTCTGTGACCCAAAATGTGGTATGAGGAATGAGAATCTTCCGTCACTCCGGAATGCTTCTATCTAGTTACAGTGGTTTAATAAAAAATATATTTCAGGGCAATGAACTGTCTGCGGCGATTGTCAATGCAGCAAGCACTGTACCTAATGGTATACAAGTTCAACAACCGCAGGTGTGTATTCTGTATGAGTTTTTACATTTCTGTATTTTCATTGATAATTTATATCCAAGTGGGCGGTCAGCCTTATATGTCCTCTGAAACATTATTATACAATTATTAGCTGACCCGGCAAATATTGTTTTGCCATGTATATTATTTCTAGGAAACAGTTTTTTAGTTCATAAAAATAACTCTCTACTATAACAAAAAAATAGGGGTTGATCGTAGAGGGGTGAAAATTAAGGGTTGTATGTATTTTTGATTTTATAATTATTTAAAATAAAATGTTCTAAAAAATAAAAAATAAAATAAAATAGATAGTAGCCGAGTCTCAGACATACTGAATTTGCATAAAAAAATTCATAAGAATCATTCGAGCCGTTTCGGAGGAGTATGGGAACAAACATTGTGACACGAGAATTTTATATATATATAGAGATTATTCAACCAATTTATGTCTAATACGAATTTCAATAATTTTTTTATTAAATTTAAATTACAAAACGTTTAAAGGCTGTGATAAATAGAAATCAGTTACAATATTTTTAGGTCTGGGCCTCAGGTCTTCCGTATCTGTTTCATAATTATTTGTCAACCTAATAGGCAAGAAGGTGATCAGCATCCTGTGCCTGATACACGCCGACTTTTCCTTCACAGTTCTAGCGAATGTTAAAAGCGCACATAGAAAGAAAGTCCATTGGTGCGAGGATCGAACTTAAGACCTCAGCCCTGCGATTCTGTAACTCACTTTTCGAACTCACACAGCGGTTTTCGCATCGGCGGTCGCTCTCAAATCAGTTGTGAAGCAGTCATTTTATGATTTGGCATTCTGAAAAGGTGGGAGCTTGTAGTTTATTGTTTATCAGTTGTGTGAGTTCGAAAAGTGAGTTACAGAATCGCAAGGCAGGGATGAGAGTGCCACGCTGAAGCCACTAGGCCAACACGGCTATTACTAATATTATTTTTAATTAATTTTTCAAATCATAGTTTTAAGATATGTTGTATAATTATACAATTACAGTTTGTAAGCATTTTTTAGAAAAAAAACTTGTCTAGAATAAGAAATGTCAATAAATGTTTACTTGTGACCTAACTGTGGTAGTTTTTAATTTGATTTAATAAATATGATACTGTCAGGAGTAAAATTAACTAGCCCCATGCCCCTTTATTAATTTATTTTAAATAATTCCAGGTGATATCGATGCAGCAGTTGCAGTCCCTATTAGGCGGAGGAGTCGTCCAGAGTTCAGATGGCGCCACTTATCAGAATGCGTCACAACCCTTATTGCAAATACACCCACAACTTTTACAGGTACAGTCGCGTTCACAAGTGTTTATATTTATAATACAAATAGTTTAAAATTTACGAGTGATGTTAGAAAAATTTATTTTAATATTATATTCGAAATTTTTATTAATTTATTCAAAATGAAAGACATTTCTTCAGGTCGGCTTCACCAAATTGCCTTTTTTGAAAGTCTAGTATGATAAACACGTCACCATTTTTTGCAAATGTATTCACAAATATAAGTACAGTCGTGTAGACAAGTGTCTGAATTTCAATGCTCTTATAAATCCATGGGATTCGCCGATAGGCCCATTTAAATGATAATCTGTAAATGTTGCGAAAATTCTTTAGAAAAATCTATGAACAGCGTAATTTATTTTTCGAAATATTTCCAGCAACAAGCTGGGAACGTGTACGGTAGTTGCCTCGTGGGGGGCGTTGGAGGGGGCATGGCTCAAATGCAAACGGTCACTGTTGACGGACAAGAGGCGCTCTTCATACCAGCACAACATGCTCAGGTATTTTTTGCCTTTATCAAAAAAGGCACACAGAAACTTAAAAAAAAAGATTGAAATAGAAACGTGTTTAAATGTAAAAGTAGCTGGAAAAAAAATTACAAGTAACACCTCATTTGGTTACATAACTCGCCACTGATCTTTTTAATTTAAAAAAAAATGGTACATGTTCAGTATTTCTTTAATCCACTTCACTAAAGCTAAGGTTTCCTAGTTAACTAACGGCCGTCATTTTACGGTTGTTAATAACGGCCGTGTTTACTTTTTAACATAATGCAAAAAAAACATCATTTTCGCTCGTCCAAGTCACGTTTCCACTCATGGTATTAATTAAATATGGGCACCGCTACACGCTATGACGGCCATCATGCAAATGACAGCACCGCTATTTGACGTTACGGTGACACTCAACGTTCTCTAGAAAACCTACTCCGATGTTATTTATAGACAACGTATGGGTGACGTCACCCAACGTTACATTACGGCCGTTGAATAACGGCACCGCTAGACTGGTTCATAGTACAAAGATATTTAAAAAAATAGGTTTTTTTGAAGGGGACACATGCGCCCTTGACCTTGAATTAACTGAATTAAAAGTGGTAATGGTAAGTCAAATTGTACAAGTTTGAGGAATATATTTTTCTTTTGTGTCTGTCATTTTGTACTGGATATAATTATTTATTTCTGTTAATATTGTCGCTGTAGAATGAATCGTATGTCCAGAGAACCAAACATTACAGGAATTTTTTTTTTCTCAATGTTCATTGTATTATTAAGTGTTTATATCCATAGTTTTAGATCGTAAAACTTATTTATTAATAACATAAATAAGTCCTTACTTCATGATTATACCAGTTAAATGATATAATAGTCTAGAATTAAAAATAAATGTTTTTTTGACATACGAGGTTCTATTCATATTTCATTCTACGATATGTCAACGAACGGCAACATTATGAATAAATAAATAATATATGGGCACTGCAAGGTTTGTTGCGCAGGAGTAGTTTTTTATTTGCTACTAAAAACGTATGAATTTTATCCCGCTACTTAAATCTTACTAAGAGTCGTTTCAGAGCCGAGACTTAAGTTGCTTAAGCGCTAAGTTTGACTTATACTTGTCAAATTCAATATGGTTTTGCAGACACTGGAGTTTTTTTTTTTTTAATGGCTCTGGCACGATTTGTGCATTAGCCAGCGTCAAGTATAGTATTTTTATAATTCGTGCTTTGTCTTTAGAAATTCGACCGTGTCCTCCATGTACGGCTTAAGAACTCGCCCGGTATCGCACAACCCTCCCAAAGGCCGAGAACAAATTTAAATTAAATTAAAACTTGCCCTCGAACCGGGAATCGAACCCGGTACCCCTTACCTAGCTGCCACTTAATAAGACCGCTAGGCTATGAGGCCCCCAACACAACACTGGAGTTGTACGTAAATGAAAAAAAAAAATTTTTTTGAATAAACATGACAATGTTCTTATTTATTTTTATTTGATAGGAGGAGGAGGGGCTCAAACGAGCCTGTAGCACGCCCAAAAAGGGCAGACTTACATAGATTTTCTTTTCAGTGAGTGCTTTTCCGGCCTTTGATGATTTTTTTAAATATAAAAACAGGAAAAGGTACTCCTGATGCTGTATTAATGTTGACATTTCTTATTTATTTTGTTATAACTGACATTGTTTATTAATTATATATATTGAAACTTGTATTAAATGATTCCAGAATTTCTCAAGCATGGGCCAAGTGAGCCTCGTGAATGGCCAATTAGTTCGGACACCAGTGTTGCCAGGGGGCTTCCTACAAAACGTCATGCATTTACCCACAGGTAAACTATAAGATAGACTGAATGCCATAGATCGTAGACGCCATAGATTCTGCTCTATCATACCATAGATGCTTATCTAATCTCTCATTACTGTGGGACGGCTTTGTTTATTTGCTTTGCTCGGGGGACTTTAATTGCGTCACAGATTGCTCGAAGTGATTTTAATTTGAATATATTATTTACGATAATATATCGTGTGACGCAATTTATGACCCCTAAATCCTTTTAATGTTATTTAATAAGAACACAAGGGATTACTGGAACTAAACTATACAAATTTATGAATATAAAAATAAATAATAATAAAGTTAAATATAGTTATAAATATTGCTAACTTGACATGACATTCACTTATGATTACAAAATAGATTCCCATTAAATTAACGAGTTTTTGAAAATGATTGTAGTATTTTTTTGAAACTACAATTCGACTTAGATTCCTTCAAGAAAGAGCGTACTATTTATTAAAAGGCCGGCAACGCACTCTAGCAATGTGAGTGTCCATGGGCGGCGGCATTGGTTAACATAAACTCTATTAGTGTGCCTATTGTGGGAGAATCATTTTTGATGCAAAGTCACGAGGTTACTTTTGGATATTTAAGGAATTAAGGATATTTTTAGGGTCTAAGTCTAAGTTTTTGTAATGGATAAAACAACTTAACTGAATGTGTTTTCCGCATGAAAAAAAATAAATCAGTGAAGCTACAACCTCTTTAGGTCTTGGCCTCAGATTTCTGAGTCTGTTTTATGATCATTTTTTTTATCTAATAGGCAAGTAGGTGATCAGCCTTCAGTGCCTGACACACGCAGTCGACTTTTTGGGTCTAGGGTTAGGGTTGGTGGACTCATTTCCACAATTAGACAACTTTGCTCAACTTACCGCAGACTTTTTGGGTCTAAGATATGTCGGTTTCCTCGCGATGTTTTCCTTCACCGTTCGAGCAAATGTTAAATGCGCACATAGAAAGAAAGTCCATTGGTGCACAGCCGGGGATCGAACCTACGACCTCAGGTATGAGAGTCGCACGCTGAAGCCAAAAGAAACAAAAACAATATTTCCTTACGATTACTTCGCCGTATAATTCTGGCTTCCATACGTCAAAAGGGTATTTGAATTTTAACATTTAGGAGTTGCAGTTCGTGCTTAGTCACGTTTTTGACTCTCGCCCTACTCCTACGCCCTCAGAGTCGAGACTTATTGGATTTTGATATGCGTGAGTCATAGTCTGACTGAATTTTTCTTTTAGACACTACAATGAGTGAATGTCCTGTCAAAGTCTGTTGACGTATTAAATAGGTTTTATAACTACAAATTCTGGCGATAGCTGAATTCGGTTGCTATTGTCGCACACAAAAGCTTAAAAAATCACTGCTTTCCCGCTTGTCATCTCGACGAGACTGAGCTTTCGTGATGCCGTGTCTGAACAACTTGCAAAAAAAGCTAATATAAATATATAAAATAATCAATGTTCCCTTTTATTAAAAACACAATACAATATTATTAAAATACCTTTCGAGTCGATAAAATTTAAAGTTTAACGTAAATGAGGGTACTTTCAAAAATCAAAAGCTTTTAAATAGAAAAAAAAATTGTTCAACATGGCAACCCACGGCCTCGCGAGACCCATACTAATTCCTTCGGGCACACCTAACAGAGCAGCAAGCGACGATCACTATCCCCGGTACTAACATAAGCATCCCTCTGAGTGCCCTCGGGAACCAAGTGATCATACCGGGAACGAACCTTTTATCCGGGGTCCTCCCGAATCAGTTGAACGTCGTTAGTGGGGGGGAGAAGAAGGACAAGGAACAGAGTGACGCACAAGGTAGGTCCGAGGGCTTTTGAACGGTTTTGGGAGCGTTCAAGTATTACGTCACGCATATTTTGTAGATTATTGACCCCCCCCACATGTAACGCGCCGTAACGTTTTTCTGTACCCAATAGTAAAACGTTTCGTGACCACTTAGTGACTCTTTATACCTAATAGTTACCATTATGTGGTGTAAAGTACTGGAAAGGCGAAAAAAATATTAACAATAATGCGTAATTGAATCCCCGCCCCGCATCGTAACGTTTTACAAAAGGATCCCTCCAAAATTCGTTACGTAATACTTGAACGCTCACTTTGCTGTGAAGGTTTAAAACTAGTCGGAGGAAATTAGTCTCTGGTTTTTTTATGTTTTTTAATTTATCAAACATTCGAAAAAGGTTTTATATATTGGGTAAGACGATTCAAAAGCTCTCTAAAATCCTTAACCAAAAGCTTATTAATTTTCTTGCAGTCAACATGCTTGGTGTATTCGTTTTGGCCACTTTCACAATTTATGCACATGTCACAATTTATGTATTAATTTTATTTATTTTTTTATTTGCTGTGTGGCTATATACAAGTTTTGTGTTTCTGGGAAACGAACCTAGGACTTGTTACGAAGCAGATCAACATTGATAAGTGTATAGTCAGTTATGATTTGCTTTTTGTTGTGTCAATCTATATTTCTTGGAGAATATAGCTATTCCACTTTTTTTATATAGAAAATCAGCAAAAACTGCTTTTCTAAAGGTGAGGTAATTTTTTAAAGAAGTCATATGTCTCTTTTCATCAAAGTGTAAACAATATTTATGAGAAAGAGACGAAAGAATTCTTACGAGTACAATTCAGTGTTTACAGTTTTATTTAATTTTGATATCGAATATGTTATCGGTATTTAATTTAAAAGCCCTGTTGAAATAAAAAAATCATCTCATTAGACCTGATCTAAAAGACCAGTTCAAAAGTATAATCTACCCGCATAAATAATAATGCCTCTTTGCAATATTTTATTATACGGGTTTACATGCTGAAGGTATTGTCCATCTTTGTGAGAGGCTGGTGCCTATAGACTGGGACTAAAGAAATCCTGTGCTAGGAAAACAAGATTACTTAATATGACGTAACTAAAGTAATAAACAAAATAAAATAAACTTTTACTTACGATTTATAAATCCGGTCCTATATGAACAGGAATTCATAAAAAATTGATTTATTTGATCTCCATAGATTGATTTAAATGTTTAGTGCGATATTTTAAGGATACTTATTTGCCGCAGAGGGAATATGTAGTATGTCAAACGATAGTTCTTGACCTTGACCGCAGTAAGTTTAAGGTCACAATGATGCGGCGACTCCCTTTTTCGGAAGCGGTATACCAGACGGCTGCTGTATAAAATCTATAGCGATGTTAATTATTGGCTGCGAATTATTACTCTTTAGAGAGTTGTTGTGTGAAAGAATAGTTGCACTGGACAATAAGGCAACCAAAATCAAATTTCGTTACATGTGGTTAATAACAATATATTACCGTAGGAGGGGGCGTGGCAGTCCGCGGTGGGGTGGGCGGAGTGGGGGGCATGGGCATGGTGCCAGTGCAAGTGCCCGTGAGCATGGCCAACGGACACACGGTGTACCAGACCGTGCACGTGCCTATACACGCGCCGCATTTGCAGATTATACCACAGTTACAACAGGTTAGTTGGAGATACGGACTTCTTTTGTTATCTATTTAATTTCTTCATCACCCCGACTCTTGTGGTCCCTTTATTTTATATATTGTAAAGACATTTCCTAATATAGGTGAGTGGGGGGTCCGCCATTTCGCGAGTCCACAGTGACTTTTAACGCAGTGACAATTATATTGCAGAAATCTTCCAGTTGCAATCTGAAGCTTCTTAATATTTCGGCAGTTACCTTTATATCGATTAGGCCGCTCCAGGCCGCTAGGGGCTCCAAATTCTTGACTTTAAGGCGCAATTCTGCTCAAATGTCTGTAAACTACGAAAACTACTGATAATCAGTATGGATTGTTTATAATAAACTAATGACTAAAGGATATTTATAAAATCCAAAGTAAATAATAATTTCACAGGAACATAATTTATTATCCATAACGTCAAATATCTATATACCTACCCTCACCTCTCGTTTTTTGTTTCTGTTAATGTCCACTGCTGGACATAGGCCTCTCCCTTCAATTACCAAAAGTTCCTCACGTCCATCGCCTTCCCTCCACCCTCACCAGGTCATCTGTCCATAGTGGGAGGCCGTCCAACGCTCGCTATTTCCCATCCGTTCTTTGGCCAATCTATTATAAATTAATTTAAAATATGAAATTGCAGATGCAAGCACAACCCCAGATGGCGAACGTGCTGACTCCGTCAGGTCAAATTCAGCAGATACAAATCGCTTCACTTGGCAATGTTCAGGTAAATATCAATGACTGGTTTGATTTTTACGTCTAAAATGTTTTCGCCTAACCTAAAATTCATGTTATATGTCTTAATGTATTTTGTTTTTATAACTGGGTAAAATGTTTTTCTATGCAATATTTCTGTGTATGTATTTACAATTTTTGGGTTACTTATGTGCTTCTTCTATCAAAGGACTTGTAAACAAAACGTTATATGAAATCTTGACTAAGCGCCCAAAGTTTTTGACATTTGGAAGTTTAACCCGTGTTCTAGAACGTCAAGTGTCAATGCACTTTTTCTGTATGAAGTTTGACGTTTGACAGCGCTTAAGATTGTGACTTACGCATTAAAATTAGGATCTCGCGCTCATAATAAACAAATACTTGTTTTAATATATAAATAACACTGTGCGTAAGAGTACCGGTGAAGCGATGTACAGGCGAGCACACAAATACTTTTAAATACGGCAACGCACTCGCGAGCCCTCTGGCATTGAGTGGTATCGCTTAACATCCGGTGAGCCTCCTGCCCGTTAGCTAGAACAGGTTCTATAAAAAAATACTTGGTAGAATGTGTCCTATATAGAAGAGAAATTTAAATAATTTGGTCACACATCGGCAATATTGCATTAACAGCGCGACTGTACGAAACTCAGCCGCTTTGGGCATACCATAAACAAAGTCTTTGTCAGTACAGGTGACGCGCAAAACAAAAATGTATATATCTTAATATATATAAATTACGTGTCACGTTGTTTGTCCGCTATGGACTCCTAAACTACTGAACCGATTTCAATCAAATTTGCACACCGTGTGCAGTTTGATCTAACTTAAAAGATAGGATAGCTTACATCTCAATTTATACCAGCAATATTACTTTATTGCAAATTATTTGTAATTATTTGATAGTCACAATTCTAACAGATGGCGTGGTGTTGAAAATACCAACGTGTTAAACGTTGGTATTATAAGCTACAATTTAATGGAATTACCACCAATAAAGCATGGTGATCCCCATCATTGGTGCTCTCCTACCGTTTCCCTTGAATAGTTTACTTCTATTTAATATAACAAAAACCTTAGCCACAGCAACGCTTGGCCGGTCAGCTAGTATATTATATATTCGCCGTGAGATTTACGTGTTTATACTGTGATTGAATGTTTACAAGGACCTAAATGCTTGGTTATGGTTTTTCAATGCTTGATTTGCTACAGCAAAATGGTGCTACACAAAACGCAGTCAGCGGCTCCCCCACACCCGCTACTATAACGCTGCAGGTAATTATTTAGGAGTAGTTCCTCGTGGTGCTTATTTGTTGGGGACTCGTGTCACTGTTATCTTTGTATGATATTTTTCCTATTTATAATATTATATTCCAATCTTAATTAAAAATAATATATACAGTCAAAACCGGTTATAACGACATTGAAGGGACCGTATAGTTGCCGACGTTATATCCGATAGTCGTTATAAGCAATGTCATATACTCAAGTACAGTACATATGTATGTACATAGTTATCGATCTAGAATAGGTAGGTATGGGTTATAATATGGTATGTTAATATTATAATATGTAAACGAGTCAAAAAAGAAACAAAAATATTTATTACGAAATAATTAGGTACAAAAGTAATCAGTCAGTCTGTTTTTTTTTTTAGCCCAGTCTCAAATATTTTTTGCATTTTACGTTTCATACTCCTCAAGGTATGAGTTCAAACTGTTCGTTAAAGGCAACAAATTTTTACTAAATCGTTACAGCGTTAAGAGCCTCGGAAATCGTTGTTGGCTGAAACTGTTCGTTGGGAGAAAGTGCGAAGGTAATAATATGCCTAAATATTCATTCAATGCATATAAATAAAATTTAAAATCGTTCGTATTGTTTTGTTTTGCTGAGACAAGAAGCGGTTGGTCGTTATAGCCGATGAATATCGATAAACTTTCGTCGTTGTAAGCGATATGTCGCTGTATCCGATGTTGTTATAAGCGGTTTCTTTACTGAATAGTTTACTAGGGATTCGGACGGGACCATACAATCTGGTTGTAATAACCGATAGGTCGTTGTAAACGATGTCGTTATAAACGGTTTTGACTGTATATCTATAACGTATAATTGCTATGCGGTAACTTTTAACGGTAAAAGTGATTCCATTATGCTTATTTATAAAAAATACAACGTGTATGCATACAATTATACAAGTAAATATGACATCACAAATTTTACACATACACATGAATTATATTAGAACATGAGCAAGCTAGCCAGGGGCAAAAATTAAATAAGCAATCACAAAATAAAAATAATAACTAAAAGAAAGTAATAATAAAAACTAAATGGAAAATTAACTCATTAAAAGCATGATAAACAAAGTTACGGTAAGTTGGAAGATTGTTGTAAAATATGATGTTTATGTCGCAGTAAAGTAGTTAAATCAGAGTGTTAATTGAATCTCTAGACAGTTAATTAAAGGTTGATATTAGCCTACCTTCCTTCAGTAGCATTGATCGGAACTCCTTAATGGGTAAGGGCTTCCTCCAGCTTTTTCCAAATTTCTCTGCATGGCTTTCTTTCTCCATTCGCTTCCTGCTAAAGCTTCTATTTCTTCTATCCACCTTTTATTACCCTCTAGCAAAATAGTATTTAAGTGAGAGAGGGAGAGATCTAAACTAAAAGCTAAATTTATTTTATTTTGTATTAGGTTTGGTAATTGTATTTTTCAGTGTTACTTCTAATTTTATTTTGGTTGATTTGGTTATGCACCTATATACCCTAAGTATTTTTTTTAGTTTCTTTACTAGGGTTGCCTGGCAGAGATCGATGGTTAATAATAATAATAAATCCATAATAGTCATGCAAATGTCATATTAATTAATGGCATAATAATAAGAACAGTTAAGTTATAATGGTTGTCAAAACTTATGGTCTAAATCAGTGTTTTTGTGCCATGCCCCACCTTAGCCAACCTTAAATTCTTATTCCCCCCCTATGTAACAAACATAATTAAAAAATTATTTGTTCACTTAAGAAATTTTAATTAACGAAACAATAAGTAAATTTTAATAAAGATTTTTCTATATTAATTTAGTGAGATCTTTGCGCTTCATTCTTGCTGCACAGAGATTTTATATTGGGTTCCAATTTAGTTAGCTTCAGTCTCAAGCCTCAAGTGTTATAATCACCTGATTTCGAATCCCCCTGTGGGGCGTGGGCCCCACGTTGGTAAACACTGGTCTAAATACCTTCCCCATGAAAGCATTACACGGCAGTGATCTATAACTTCTGGGAAGGTGATTAATTTGTTGAATAAATCGTGATGCAACATGCAGTCACCTACAGCCGTGTTGGATCCCTAATAATTATATTTGTTTTTATTTTAATGTAACGAAATTTGTTAATTTATTGGTTGCCTGGAAGAGATCGCTCGAAAGCGATAAGGCCGCCAGTTGCCCTCCTCCGAAATGGCCGATTTTCGTGTCATTTTGTGTGCATCTATTTACATCCCCCTAAATGTTAAGAGTAGTCCACCCCAAAATTTTGTTTTATTTTTAGCCAAAAAATTTGATTTTCATTTTTTTATGTTTTTTTTTGTTTAATTTTGTTTTTATATTACAGTAGATAGTTTTTCTTATTGAACTAACATTTTTTTTAGTACAAATAATATACATGGCAAAACAACGTTTGCCGGTTAGTTGTACTTATTATATTCCTGTATGCAACCAAGTGTTAATATAAAAATAAATAAATAATTTTACCATAATTTTTGCTTATATCAAACGGCCAGGAAAGCTACAGTTTTTTACGGCTTTTGCGTTGTTAGCTTTAGATAATTGATTTAAAATTACGCTTTATTAACCTTTCCTCCCGTGATAAATATAATCTCGTTCACGCTGCTCGGAAGGCGGTGAATCAGATCCAGACGGATGCGAGTGGGATTCAGCAGCAACCGACACAGACCATTATAACGACCACACCCAATGGGCAACAGGTCACGGTTATACCTGCATGTAATAATGTGAGGAGTGCTAATATTGTACAGGTATTAATAGTTCAAACCGTCTGTCGACTGGAAGACGAGAATGTGGTATTCATCGCGATCTGTACGTGGACCGTTGATTTTTTTGCGGGTAGGAAGCTCAGTTGATGTTGAGGATATCGCCGCCCATGGACACTCCGGACTTAAAAGAATTGGTGCGCCCTTCTTGAAGGACCTTTGGCCAGAATATAATGTTAAGTGAGATGTGGCCTTTTGAAGGGCATGTCTGTCCAGGACATGCCTGTTACCGCCGCTTAATTGAACCCATATATTTTGTAGCGGTTTTGCTGAACGTGGAAGGTAGAATAAATGTTATTTCAATGTAGATACTTCAATGTATGTGTCAGTCACTCCAATAACATCATATATGGAGGCCACTTACATGAGAAAATTCAAATTAAAAACTCAAAGAGTTAAATATATCACGCCACCGTCGTACGAACGAGAATGTGGTATTCATAAAAGACATATTGTACGTACCGCCGCCTATGGACCCTCACATTGAACGTTCAATAGGGAGCGTTCAAGTATTACGTCACGCAATTTTAGGAGATTATTGACACCCCCCCCCAAGTAACGCGCCGTTACGTTTTTCTGTACCCAAGTATAGTAAAACGTTTCGTGAGCACCTAGTGACTCTTTATACCTAAAAGTTACCATGATGAGGTGTAAAGTACTGGAAAGTCGAAAATAATATTAACAATAACGCGTAATTCATCCCCGCCCCGTATCGTAAGGTTTTACCCCCCCTCCAAAATTCGTTACGTAATACTTGAACGCTCCCATAAATGTTATATCAATGAACATACTTCAATGTATGTGTTTAGAAGTGTCAGTCACTCAATTAAAATCATATAAATTTGTCACTCTGATTTGACATAATGTCATTTACACGTGAAAAAAAAATTAAAAACATAAAGTAGAATATATCACGCCACCATCGTACGCTATTACTGCATACGTCCATCTACCAAAGAAACCCAGGTGTATTTGAAACGGATCCACTTCTACCATTCCGTATCTCAGGAGCTGTTGTAATAACTCGCTCCAAAATAGGTTATATTTTTGCGACCGTATTCGATCCTGATTTTAGGCAGATGTATAGGATTCGTGTTAGGCGGGCTACGGATTGAAGTTAAATTTAATGCTCATGTATATTTGCTTATGTAAAAGTATAGGCAAAGTAGTGTAAATAGTAAAGAATTTTCATCACGCAAAATCTTGATAGGTTCACGTACACGGGAGCTTTATTAAAAATAAATTTCAGTTATACCTTACTGACTGCTTAGTAAAATTATAAGAACCCATAAGTAAGTAGCTAATTCAAATCAGGGTTTGCTTATGATAGACATGATTTTTCAGATGCCAACGTTGGGCGTTGGGGGGTTAGGCGGTGCGGTCCAATTGGTTCCAGCGATGGGACTGCCGGGTGCAGTTCAGTTGGCACAGATACCACAAGCACAACCGCAAGCGCAGCAACAGCAAACAGTGTCTATTGGTAAGCTTTTTAAGGTTATTTCTACTGTACAGGACTAGGTGTTCAGAGCGTTGGCGTTTGGCGTTGCATAGAGATGTGGGGTTACTCTGCATCTACCATGGAGAGTGTTCCGAGGAGTTGTTCGGATTAATGCCTGCAGCTGAGTTTCATCATCGGACGTCGAGGCAGAATACGAAATTCCACCCGTATTGCCTCTACGTCCGCCGTTCCACAATTGAGCGTTTTTCAAGGCAGTTTTTGCCGCGCACCACCACTTTGTGGAACAAGCTGCCCACTGAAGTATTTCCCAACCAATTCGACTGAGGGTCCTTCAAGGGTACCAATTCTTCAAAGGCTGGCAACGCACTCGCGAGCCCTCTGGCATTGAGAGTGTCCATTGGCGGCGGTCACTTAACATCAGATGAGCCTCCTGCCCGTTTGGCCCCTGTTCTATAAAATATATATATTAATAAGTAAATGCAGATTTGGCCTAGTAAATGAAACTACAAGTAACACTGAAAAATTATACAATTTCCAAACTTAATGTAGATGCGGCGCAAGCGTGCAATGAGCGTAACGGGACAATAAGCGTAACGGGACAACGAGTCATGCTTTTTCGTGCGTGCAATCGGCGTTCATAGATTTATTTAACGTTGTCACGACAAAGATTAAAATCTAAAAGCTTCATGAATTCACAATGAGTAAAACAATAAGAAAATACATGAATTACAAAACCAGCGATTAATCGGGATAGGATATATTGTTTAAGAAAGAGTTAGAGGTAGCCATTTGTATGGAGTCTAAAAAATTCTAAACTTCACCAACATCTTGATGGCTGGAAGTCTTCCACAGTCCGTTTCACAAGGCATTTTCTTTTCCGAACTGTGGAATCGACTCCCGGTGGGGGTCTTCCCTGAGAGATACGACCTCCAACTGTTCACAATTCGAGTGTACTTCTCCTTCAAAAGCCGGCAACGCACTATAAAAAAGGGGTGCGTGTACTTATGTACGCGCGTAAGGAGTTATACTTCTTTGGCATTATTAAAAATAGTTTTTGATTGCATGCAAATACTTAATTACAATTAAATAATCAAAGACTGGAGAAGGAGTCATTATAGTCAATAAAGTTCAGTTTACATTTGAAAAATTAAATAAATAAATATTTATTATTATTCTCTTACATTAAGTGTAACATAAATTCTATTATTATTCAAATGTTGTTTTTAAATAATGTCCAATGCCGTAGCATCTTCCGTGGGCAACTTCATTCTGTTAGTTTTGTGTCACGGTGCGCGCGCATCGTAAAATTTCACTCTCATCAATTTTTCATAACGCGCCTAAAGAAGTATAACTTCAAAATTTTTTTGACTATTTGTGGTATTCTCACCTCATAAATACTCAACAGGTCAGCAGATACAACAAGACCCCAATGAGCCAGGCAAGTGGCAAGTCGTGACGGTGAGCTCTGGCAGCGGTAGCAACGGCAACGCTGCTAGTCCCACCACGGAGTGCGAGGCCAGCAAGCAGAGGTCCGAAAGCCCCAATGGGGGGAAGCGGTTGGTCAAACGGGTCGCCTGCACTTGTCCGAACTGTGATCAGGGGGAAAAGTGAGTTATGCATATTTTGTTTATTTCAAGAAATTTATGAATCTTGTTAATGATGTATACAGTATTGGGTTCGATTTTTGGGGAATTTTGAAGAGTATTTTTTTGAAGTGAAACTTCTTTTGGCGCATGAAGGCAAAATTTTACGGATGAAACGCTATAATAATAATATTAGCGTCACGAAGATGTGCAGCGTTTTTGTCGAAGAAAAGGGAGAGAGCTATAGTGAGAAAGATTGACTACTGAAGCCACTGTGAACTCACTCTGCGAACATATAAAGATGTTGATAGACAGCATTCAGTAGGCACAGCTTTTAATTTTTTTTTTAAATTAATTTAGTAAATCTTTACAGCTTACTTAATTATAATATAAAATATTTTTATAAATCGAAACGCTAATTAGTTCTACAGACTTAACAATAATATGAAAGAGAATGCGGGTGTGTGTGTCTAACTGAAGCCTGTGTGTTAAAGCGGCTTGATTTAGTGACATCAAATGTCTATAATGAAATATACGTTATGGGTTGATTTTTAGCCGCATGGTCGATCGCAAGAAGCAGCACGTCTGCCACATTCCAGGCTGCAACAAGGTGTACGGCAAGACCTCGCACCTTCGAGCTCACCTGAGATGGCACTCCGGGGAGAGACCCTTCCTCTGCAATTGGCTGTTCTGCGGGAAAAGGTTTGTTAAAATAATTTCACGAAATTTCCAGTTAAATTTGTTTCTAGAACCGTAACGAATACAGGCATGAAGTGGTTAGATTTTGTTTTTTTTTTTATTTTTTTATGTAATAGGAGGCAAACGGGCAGGAGGCTCACCTGATGTTAAGTGATACCGCCGCCCATGGACACTCACAATGCCAGAAGGCTCGCAAGTGCGTTGCCGGCCTTTCAGGAATTGGTACGCTCTTTTCTTGAAGGACCCTAAGTCGAATTGGTTCGGAAATACTTCTGTGGGCAGCTGGTTCCACATAGTGGTGGTGCGCGGCAAAAACTGCCTTAGAAAACGCTCTGTTGTGGAACGACGGACGTCGAGGTGATACGGATGATATTTTGTATTTTGCCTTGACGTCCGATGATGAAACTCAGCTGCAGGTATTAGACCGAACAACTCCTCTGAACACTCTCCATGGTAAATGCGGTAGAAAATGCAGAGAGATCCCACATCTCTACGCAACGCCAAGGGATCAAGCCGCACGGAAAGTGACTGGTCGTCGACGATTCGAACCGCTCTTCGTTGAATACGGTCAAGTGGAAGGAGCTGGTACTGGGGAGCTCCCGCCCAGAGGTGAGAGCAGTACTCCATATGGGGCCGAATTTGCGCTTTATATAGTTGCATGCGGTGGCCCGGAGTGAAGTACCGTCTCGCCTTGCTGAGCACACCAAGCTTTTTGGAGGCTAATTTAGCCTTTCCCTCCAAGTGACCGCGAAACTGAACGTCGTTCGATATGTCAACGCCAAGTATTCCAATGCTAGCTGTGGCTTTAAGGAGAGTGTCTTCAAAGAGGGGAGTAGCGACAAAGGGAGTTTTTTTAGCGGAAAACGCGCATACTTGTGTCTTCTTGGGGTTAAATTGGACTAGATTTAGTCTACCCCAGTCCGAGACTCCACGTAGAAGAGTTTCGACTTCAGACACAAGTTTGTTCCGGTACTCATCGACAACAGCCCGAGAAATACCTGCCCGGCCAGTGTAAAAAGTATCCCCAGTGCTGTCGTCCGCATAGCAATGAATGTTGCTAAGCTGCAACATATCATTGATATGCAGAATAAACAGGGTCGGGGATAGGACACAGCCTTGTGGGACACCAGCATTCACAGGTTTCAGGTCGGAGCATGCTCCGTCGATGACGACTTTGATGCTCCGATCAGCGAGAAAGCTGGAAATCCAGTTGCATAATTTCTCAGGGAGCCCATAGGCTGGAAGCTTCGAGAGCAGTGCTCTGTGCCACACCCGATCGAAGGCTTTCGCTATGTCCAAACTTACCGCCAGCGCCTCCCCTTGGACTCAATTGCCTCTGCCCACCTATGTGTAAGGTATACAAGGAGGTCACCAGCCGAGCGACCACGACGGAAGCCGTACTGAGAATCGCTAATCAGCTGGTGGCCCTCTAGATACCTCAAGAGCTGGCTGTTAATAATGGTTTCCATTATTTTGGAGAACAAGGAGGTTATAGCTATTGGGCGATAATTGGACGGATCAGAGCGATCGCCTTTTTAGGGATCGGATGTATCGAAGCGATCTTCCAGCACTTCGGAACAGTGCCGAGCGTGTAAAGGTACCGGAAAAGGCGCGTTAGGACCGGAGCCAACTCAGGAGCACAGAACCATTCAGTAGTTTTGAATATCTCCGTTGATAAAAGGTTGTCGATATGACACATAACATGTGTATGTTTGTCCACACATTTCTTGGAACTTACTAAACCAGATTATATTTAAATAAATATTTTTGAAGTTGTACTTCTTTTGCGCGCTAGGGAAAAATTATGAGAGTAAATTTTTACGAGGCGCGCACACCGTCACAAAAAAACCGACACCCTGAAGTTAGCTATAGTCAACATTTTAGTTTTTTCTATTGTTAATGTCGTTTTTCAAGAATAAAATTGTTGAAAAGATTTTTTTTCCTTGTTACGCCAAAGAAGTATAACATCTAAAGCGTGTACATTTTTTTTTTGTAAATTGTCTCTGCTCAGAGACGCAATTAAACATTACTATCTAGCTCCTAAGTCATTTAAAACTAACCTTTACTAATAAATATATTAGCCTCCTTTTTTAAGTCGGTTAAAAATGGTAAAATATTTTTTCAGGTTCACCCGGTCAGACGAATTACAGCGACACAGACGGACACACACAGGAGAAAAGAGATTCGAGTGCCCCGAGTGCAGTAAACGGTTCATGAGGTCCGATCATTTGGCCAAACATGTCCGGATACACACGAAGAATAGGATTACTGTAAGTTTATATAAAGATGAGCAAGGTTGGCCTAGTGGCTTCAGCGTGTGTCTCTCATCCCTGAAGAGAAATCTGGCTGTGCACCAATGGACTTCAATGTGCGCATTTAACATTCTTTCGAACGGTGAAGGATAACATCGTTAGGAAACCGGCTTGCTTTAGACCCAAGTCGACAGCATCAGGTACAGGAGGCTGATCACCTGCTTGCCTATTAGATTGACAAATGAACATGAAACATATACAGAAATCTGAGGCCCAGACCTAAAAAGGTTGTAGCGCCACTGATATTTTTTATTAATTTATAAGGTAGCTAGAAAGACTAAAAATATATATTTCGGACACAGGAAACGAGTCAAAAATGTAAAAAATGAAAAAATTTAATAAAAGAATATTTATCTAATTTCATTTTAATCATTATCAAAATTTATCATGTTATTGACTAAAATTAAACTACAACCATTATCTTTTTATTTTTTCTTATTTCAATCATTCAAATCAGTATAACTTGGCCTATTGCAGTGTTCCCCAACCTTTTTTGGGATATGCCCCCACCTTAGCCTCTCTAAAATTCTTCTTAATATTTCAATCACCGACTTTTATTGTCTATGAATAGTTTAAATGTGTGTGAGACACAAAATTCCATAGAACGGAGTAACACTTGATTTTGTGATCGAAATATATGGAATTAAATAACTCCTGTTTATACAAAATAAAAATAAAATTCCACTTTTTATCATATTTGGACATTGACTAAATATTAAGGCTATATTAAAAAAAAAACAATGTTTTAAATTTCAAATTAATCAGTCGGTAAAGTGACGGATTTGATAGAATCATGTGATTTTTCTAGAAAACTGTGTAATTTAATGTTATTATTTTTATGTATAGGCATACAAGATGCCAATTTTCATAATAACAGAATATGAATTAAAAAAGTTATGACAAAAACTAACATGATTATATTAATTTGAAATGGCTGCCCTGTAAAGATTACTATTTGTCAGATCCGTCACTAATCTCCCACTATGACGATTTCTTCATTTTCAAACAACAAGTTAAAAAATATATAATTTTCCAGGAGGTGGCGACATCAACACAGTCTATGTACTCGGATTCAGCGGAGGATAGTTGCGAAGAGAAAATGATGCTAACAATAGAAACGATACACTCCAATGAGAACGACGAGAAGCTGGTGATGATCAGGCCTGGACCCAAGATGGAGCCGGATCATGTGGACAGTTAGGACGCGCTTAACTTGGATTCCGACCAGGAATAAGGTCTGAACCAAGAAACAGGGAAATGAACTGCTATAGGTGTAAATTGTACTTGGTCCAATGGAGTGTTAACAAAATTATTTAGTGGGTTCGAAGTCAGTGAAAAATTGCTAGGAGTGATGCCTATATGGCTTAGTGGTTATCGCGAAAGAGATTCGATTCTTAATGTTTTTGCAATTAACAAAAAATGCTAAAACAATTTTTTCTAGAAAAATCTACGCCTCGTACTATGTACGGTTGGTTGTTTATGAAATCCGGCATGACGAATAATCTTTAATGAAGCAATGTTTAGTCAAATTTACTGTAATCATACGTTTGGAATTAAAGAAGTGACGGACCTTTAATGAATTGAGCTCCATGGTTCACTTTACCAATAATCTGGTACTATTGGTTTGGTTAATGAAAATTCTGTATGTAGATAAAATTTTGGTTTTTGCGGGTACTACACATTTAAATAGTTCTGTATCGGTTAAAACGCGAATTTACTAAATTATTGATTTAGCTATAGCACAAGTACAAGGATACGAAATTAATGCTTTTGTAGGCAATTTGGAATGGATGAATGAAAAGCGGTTAACGAATAGGATATACATGGTAACCTTGGTTGATAAAGTCGGGTTGGGTATGCCTTGACCTGGACTAAATTCGGGAGGTACTAGAGAAGGTCAAAAGCACTCATGAAGAGCTTGAGTGGTTAATAGCAAGTAGATGAAGTGTGAGAGGTATATCAGGACCTTAGCAAGTAGAGATCCATGGTCTCTGCGTACCCCTTCGGGAAAAAGGCGTTTTAATTTACATAGCTATCGAGTAATTTTCAGCAGCCACTTGGCTATTTGATTAGAGGGTAGATGTTTCCACATATAAGTGCATTTATATGTGTAGTACTCGCATATACAAGATATGAAAATAACTTTAATTCCAGTTAACCCATCATAAAAACTTATACTTTACTCTTTCTCTTTTCTTCACAGCGTTTAAACAATTTAACAGAAAGAGATGAAATGGTATAATTTAAGATTTATTATGGTTAGATTGGCAATTGAGATTAAAACTTCGTTCCGGATCGAAGGACCAAATCTTGACATCAGAAGTTCAATGGTCAACTATTTCTAACAGTACAACTCTCGACTAGTACCTAATATCAGGATACTCTATCGTTTCTGGTTCAATTAGAAGAGTCCAAGATGTTTTTAAGAACTCGAAAACGTGTCGTATGTGGTATTAATGGTCACTTCCTATGAATTGGGCTTTTATATAAAATTTAAAACAATGTTTTTCTATGAACTTAAAAATGATTTTTAGCTTAAACGAGATCACCAAATCGGGTTAAATCAAATTCTTTTTATATTTTACACTAATTTTCTCAAAAAAAAAAACATCATACGAGTCGGTTTTTATGTCTACTAAAATATGAATTTATGAAAACCGCATTTTTTACGATTTTTTTTCCATTTTCCACTTCATCAATTGAATTTTTATATTATTCTCTGTATAAATTTGGGTTTTTACCTTATAAATAAATTGGGTTTTGTTTAAACCTTAATAAGTCTAGTTCACACACATGTTTAAATGGACAGTTTAATAGTGTACGTCGGTAAGTATGCCAAACTAAACCGCCTGTTATAAGTTAATTGTAAATATATGTTTTGTGCTTAAATCATGTTTTCACTTTTATATGGATAACATCTTTTAGAGCAAATCTCGCTAAGAAACATTTAAAATCTCATAACTCATTAAAAGAGATTGACATTTTGGAATAGATTTTTTGGTCCTTGAAACTTTTAATTAGAATATATTTTTGTAATGTTCTAAACTGTCAAATAAACGTCAAATCGTGCGTATTTTGACAGATGTCAGAACATGAAAGTTGTTTCTGATTGCATCCATCCATAAAATCATGTTAGTATTATAGATTGCATTGCATATTTATTTCTATTAACTATAACCCTTCTACTTATAGCGTGGTCTAATGTTAGATTGGTTACCATGGTAACACTGTTTAGTCATCGTTTTATAATAAAGAGTAAAAGAGTAAATAAGAGTTGAAAAGTGGTAACAGGCCTAATATCCATATTTGTAAAATTCTTTAATCGCTTCACATAATTATTATTGATCAAGTATACGAAATCTAAAACGTCTTCAATTATTTTTATAAAAAATCGTAAATATATACGTAAGGTATAATATTTATTTTCTAAATAAAACTAACCGTCAGTAATCCGGTTTCAGTAATCCGGGAGGTTATTTTTAATTCAATAATTATTCGCTTAAACACTCCGGACCGTTTAATTATTGGTGCAATTATCTTTTATCGAGTCATGTACTTAAATTTTTTGTCTGTGAATTTGTCTGTGATTAGACTATTTGATAAAATTAACTGTGAAAAATTAAATACAGTTTTGTTAACCAAATTAAATGCTGTAACTGTTTGAATATTCTATTGATTCAATGATTTAAATAATAAATATAACAATGAACTCTGTAAGGTCACCGAAGTAGTCCCTTTGCACGATGTCTTCTAAGAATTATGAAGTATTAAAATCGGAATATTTTGTGCTGTATTTTTGTATAAGGCACGCCTATTTAAAATGTTACAAATATTTCCACTTACATTAATGTATTTCAAATGAAATAGTGAAAATATTATAAATTATGTTCACTACTTAGAGATACTAATTATACATTTAAACACAATTTTAATGTTCAAACACTTTTTAAATTTACTAATCATGAACACAATAAACCTAATGAATGTTTATAAACAACTCAGAGTCATAACATTATCTTATGGAAAAGTAATCTATTTTAACGCATCTACGAAATTTTAGATTTTTTAAGAGTTATGACAGTATTAGACACATTATTATTATATAATGGAAGTCTACCGGGTCTGGATCATGTCTCATATCATTTTCTTGCTGAGTGGCAATTTATTTATTAAAGTTCGTCACATATAATGTTATATCGACAGTATATGTTATAAGCTATCTTTATAAAATACATGACAATTATGGTAAATATAATATATTATTATTATGCTATAATTGGCTACGAGGGAATATAAACACATATGCTGAAATCATGTTTTCACTTTTATGTGGCTTAAGATCGGAGACATCTCCCATCAATATGTTAAAACACAATTTTCTATAGAATTTAATCAGTTATTTTTCTTTATATTCCCTTTGTTTAGTATAGATTATTAATGAATTTTATTCATGAACTATAATAAAATGCTACGCTAATACTGTGGATTCCACAAACAATCTGATCCTTTTGAAAGCATCAAAGGTGTGATGAAGTAGTTACTGTATATAGTGCATCATCAGATTTTAATTTATAAGACTCTGAGTTCATGAAAAAAAAACAACAAATGTAGATAATAGGTCGTTCAAAGTCTAATCATACTTAACTACATTGTTGGCAATTTGTGTTTTGTGATGAAAATAGTGGTTTAGATTTTTAAGTGAAAAACTAATATTTTAAGGAATGTATAATATTGTGTATTTATTATATTTAAGATACCAGCAATTCAAAGGGTCCAAATAGACTCGAATTAATTGTAAATATCAATGTACAGTAATGTTAAGGTATGTACATTATTTTATTGTTGACAGTTGAATTAAATATTTTAATAAAATTTGTTTGTCATTTGTATTGTGTATGGCGTGGAAATCCCAAAATCTCCTAAAATTTCTATTGATTAGCGTTTTATCTTAGCGTGCATACTCCTCCTGAACAACAAGCAGATAGATTAATGCATCTATTTCGGTTTAAATTTTTTGAGTTCTATCTATATGCCTGACAAAGGTAAGATTTCGCGTCGAGACTGCCCAAACTTCTGAATGTTTCTTTCATTGTGCCGAAGTTTAAAGCGCTTACAGATACCGGCAAACATCTTGAACAAATGTCCTTGCCTGCGCAGAAGCGATTTTTAGGGGGGCGGCGGGAGAGTGATGTGTCGATCGCGTGATTGGTAAATCAATTGACGTTCGTGTACGATGCGCAAACTATCCCCCACCCCCTTGTTTACTGCTCAAGAAGTTTGCCGGTATTGTAGGAAAGTACATTGGTGAACAACTTAGCTTTAAACGCCCAACGTGTGAAAATGAAACATGCAGATTTGAGTAATATTTGATAAACATAATATATTTTTAGATCAAAGAAATTATTTGTTCATATATCATCATTATAAATTTATATTTACTATCTGCTCTAAGAACACAGCCCTTCATCCTAAATTATCAAATCGGAAAATAATATCCAACGAAATTTATGACAGTTCGTTGCCCTCAATTTTCCGTGTCGTCTAATGGTGGCCATTACTGGGCCCGTGAAATCGTGATGTCGCTGTCCACAAACGCTTAATTCCATAGCTACACCGCAGTGGCTTTTGTGAACTAATAGATTCACACGTTTTAAGATGGTTTTGAGTTTAATGGGTTGGAATGTACTTACTTTATGTTTAAAAATTTATTTTTTTAAAAAGTTAATTCAATAAAAGTCAAAAATCTAAATCATTTATTTATATAGGAAACACAATGTACACTTATGAACGTCAAAAAGAAATATATATTATTAAATGCTTCTAATTTTACATTTACTGCCAATTCTCAAATCAAGGGAACCACGGAAGAGAAGAGTAAGCAATACACTCTCCGCCACTCTTTTTAATTGCCAAGTTTTTTTTGTTTTACACAATCTTTGTAATAATATTAATATATGAAAAAATTGGGTTTGTTCGAATATTTTCTCCACAAATTCACGTTTATATCCATGCAGTTTAATAAATACAAAAATACTTGTGTGGACTTAGACGCCCTTAGACGCTCATTTGGTCCGTTGTAAAGGCCGTAAAGACCTGGCTAATTAAGCCAGCCCAGCTCCTTCCAGAAGTTCATAAATCTCCTAAGCACTTCGCAGCCTCACGGAGCGACCTCACTGCTCCTAGGATTTCTGTTCGTAAAAA